AAACACATTAATTACATAAGACCTACTTTTTTATCCCAAAAAAGTGGGGGAGAAAGTGGGTGCTGCTGGCTTTCCAGGGTCTGCCTCTTGGAAAACTAACAGCATACACTTTCTCCCCCACTTTTTTGGGATAAAAAAAGTAGGTCTTATTTCAATGGGGGAAAAAACCATCTTGCAAAGCATTGTGAATGGGGCTATGGCTGCAAATTAAACAGTAGAGAATGGTGAAAACAGTCAGGAGCCAAAGGGTAAATAGATTGTAAAAAAACCAGGGAAATCACAAATGTAATCCCCATTAACACAAATTTTGCAGTTGAGTTCCCCACATTAGCATTACCTAGGTGTTCCTCCCACAATCCTCTAGTGCACAGGTATTAGCATAAGGTATTTCGTTTCGTTTAGTCGTTTAGTCGTGTCCGACTCTTCGTGACCCCATGAACCAGAGCACGCCAGGCCCTCCTATCTTCTACTGCATATGCTAATACCTGTGCACTAGAGGATTGTGGGAGGAACACCTAGGTAATGCTAATGTGGGGAACTCAACTGCAAAATTTGTGTTAATGGGGATTACATTTGTGATTTCCCTGGTTTTTTTACAATCTATTTACCCTTTGGCTCCTGACTGTTTTCACCATTCTCTACTGTTTAATTTGCAGCCATAGCCCCATTCACAATGCTTTGCAAGATGGTTTTTTCCCCCATTGAAATAAGACCTACTTTTTTTATCCCAAAAAAGTGGGGGAGAAAGTGTATGCTGTTAGTTTTCCCAGAGGCAGACCCTGGAAAGCCAGCAGCAACCACTTTCTCTCCCACTTTTTTGGAAAAAAGTAGGTCTTATGTAATTAATGTGTTTCAATGGGGGGGGAACTGTCTTGCTAAACAGGGTTTAAAAAAACCATCTTGCGAGGCAGGGACCAAACGTTGTCCATAGGAATCACTGTTTTGCGAATCGCTATAGCAATCGCAAAAAGTCAATGTCTAGCGAAAAAACTGTCATGCGGGGTAACTGTCTAGTGAGGCACCACTGTATTTAATCCAAGAATAGGGAAGCTTCAGCTCCACAGATGTTGAACAACTGCTGTTCCCATTGTTCCTTACTGCTGGCCAGGATAATTGATCTCCTGAAGTTGCAGTTTAGCAATATTTGGTGAACCACAGATCCTCAGAACTGGTTTAATGTGGTCACAGTTTGTCATCAGAAGTAGCTAGAAACTATAATTTGAAAATAGAACTCAGTTTCCACATAATTGCTACTGTGGTGGCAGCTGGATGTCTTAGATTGAATGAGTAAAGTTAATGATAAATAGCATGAATAAATCTAGAGGGACACATTATCATTAACTGTTGTTTAGCATTATGTCTGGACCATATATGCTTTATTCCTGATCTTGTTTGCAACGAATAAAACTGCTGAAGCAAAGAATATAAATAGTAGATCTTAAAACTTCTTAGAATCTTCAGATACACAAGCAAAACAATGCTTTGCTCGCCTTTCTTTAGCATTGGCTCCCATCTTCCCGATAGCTTCTCTTTTTTTGCACCTAAGAGGATGGGACATGTAGTACCATGTTCCATATTGATAATTGAATATGCTGTTAGAGGTATGCAGAAAATATGACTCTGTGCATGGATGATTTGCATTAAATTGTAGTGACTGCTGCCAGAGAATAAGTGTTGATTAGAATCCTATGTAAGAGGTATCATAAAATTTTAAATATCTTTGTTTTTATTCAGCCAGGAGTGAACAGTATGGATTCTCAAATTGGTAAGTACATCTTGTCACTTGATAGTGCGAAGTCAAATGGGACAGTGGGGTTATAGTAATTATACTATGAATTATAATTTGAAGAATTAGTTTAGTTACTTGAGGAGAATTCCTACTTGATATCTGACTGTCATCGAACAGTTGGATGTACTTCTATCCAATAGAAGGTAGGGTCTTTGAAGAAAAATTCAACTAGGAAAAAAAGGTCATCATAGAAAAACAACAACTCCCAAGGTGAGAAGGGAGACAGCATCCTTTGGATACTGACTGTTGGAAAAATATAAAACCAGGTGAGAATGGAGAATGAATTAGAGTATCATAGATTAGACCAGTGGTTCTTAACCTTTGTTACTCAGATGCTTTTGAACTGCAACTCCCAGAAACCCCAGTCAGGACAGCTGGTGGTGAAGGCTTCTGGGAGTTGCAGTCCAAAACTCCTGAGTAACCCAAGGTTAAGAACCAGTGGATTAGACCATTGTTGACTGAATACTGAACAGGAACACTTCATGCTGTAGCATTTTGCTTCATGTCCCACTTCATTAGCATGTATTTGTTTTCCTTCTGTATGTAGTTGCTTTGAATTTATTAGCCCTGCACAGAATAGCATATTTTAGGCTGATCTTCAGTATTAATCTTGAGGATCTTTCAATTTTGGCTTTTCAGTTCAAACTAAATTTGCTAGTTAGACAGAGCTTCTTGTTGGAAGATTCTCCCACATCCTCAACATTTTAAAAATGTTTTTGAAAAAAAAAGCGCTGAAGAATCCTCTTGTGTCTAGGAGCTATGGGGCAGTTTTGCCATGTTTTTAGAACTCTGCTGCCTCCTACATCCCCATTTTAAAAAACCTTTAAAATTAGATCACTACAGCTGCATAAGGAAACTTTTTCAGTAACATTCCCTTTTTTTGAAAGAATATCCAGTGATGCATAAAGGCCTTCATAATCAGAAGTGTCTGGATATGTCTTATTGTGTGAAGGTTGTCAGAATGCAAATCCATGTCTGGCTTCCAAAACGTATGTTACATTTAACATTGTTGTGTTAACATATTCTAGCAGCTAAAGCCTTTGAAACCATGGTAAACAAAGTATTTATATTAATATTTGATTTTTAATTTTTTTCATAGGTTTAGCTCCCCCTGGAACTCAGGTAAAAAAGAATCCTTTATTCTTCTAGAATTTTTATTGTATCTAGGACTTAGATTTACATTGCCACCATGTACTAACAGGTAGTTCTAATATTTGTAGATATATACATACAGCATCCAAAAATATGGTTCCAGATCATGTTGTCTGTTTCAGTTCTGTAGTTTTCTAATACATAACAGCTACCAGTTTATTTTGGTGTATTGATTTTATTAAGTCCTTCCTCAGAAGCCAGGGCTGCATATATGGTTCCACCCCATTTATTCTTAAAATGTTACCCAGTGATAGGTAAAGCTGAGAATTTGCAAGTAGATTAAAAGGAAGATGGACTGTGGGTCAGTTGTAAAAGCATTTCTAGATCTTTATTTCTAGATTAACCAATATCAGAATTACAATATTGCTATGTTTTACCCATTGAAAGCCAATACATTTTTTTTTTGCTCCTTTGGTGAGGGTAGTTTAAACACCTGGGCATCACAGTGGTCTTGTGATGCTCAAAGTTAACCATGTCTAAAAAATTTCCATACAGTTACTGAGACTTTAAACTGCTTGTCAGGATCTTGCCATTTCTGGTGATATTGCACAGACTGTCTTGATTACAGTGCTAGAACATGGTGATTTCAGATTGCTAACCATTTTGTTGAACAAGTTGATCTAGCAATATACTGCCCATTTTAATTTGCATGGCAATTGTGTATGTCTTCTGAAATATGATTGCCAATGGAGTGTTCTGTCTAATACATGGTGAGCCAATTTCATCCTCTAGAAATGGCTCTGTAGGCTTACATTTCCCTGAGAGTATCCAGGGTGGACCAAAATAAGGAGTAGATATAAATGTCCAGTAAATGAATTTTGGATTATTGTAGTGCCCCATTTCTTATCTTCCTTCAGTACAGCCACGAGGAGAGAAATTTGGAGCATTTGCTCTGATTTTCAGCTACCTGGTTGGTTATTTCTTGCCAAAACAAAGTGATGATGTTGAACCATATTTAAAACTAATGTTTCCAACTAACAGCTTATTTGCTATTAGTTGAAATGTTTCTAGCCTTCCTCTTTATAGCTTTGTCTGAAGGAGGAGAGGGAGCCTGCTTTCATATGTATTACTAAGCTGTGCATTACCAGGAAACAACTATTCAGCTGAAACTTTCTATTTAAAATGTCAGAAATTAAGGATCACAAAAATCCTATTGAGGATTTTTGTTGGTATAGGTGGAAATTGTGTAGATCATTGTAGCACATTTCCACTAATTAATAAGTTGCTTTTGCATTCCTAGTCATGTGACTTGTCATGTCACCAGGAATTTGAGTGACAAACATTACCTAGTGCAGTTCAGCATCGCAGTTTATGCATTTAAGGTTTATGTTAGCATAAATCTGCAATAGAATTCTGGCCTTGACTTGCATTACTTTGAAGAGCATCAGTGTTTTCAGTATGTAGTGAGCATTTTAGAAAGCACATTTCATTAATTAGAATACTTTTTAAGCTGTATTTGAGCATCTACATGTTCTTTATGCTAGATAATGTTATTTTAGCTTTGATTTACTTATAACCTGGAGAGGCTGAATAAACTTAGTCTTGGTGAAATGCTTTAAAATAAAAATAATTCTACCTAAATGTACCCGTCCTCATCACTGCCAGCCATAGCAACCATTTTCTTTGTAAACTGTAATAAAGAACAAGCATGTGGAGTAAGTGTGGCATGACAGGAAGAAGGGACTGAAAAGGAGCAAGTGATGTATTGCAGTGAAACATGTTATTTACTGAAATTAACTATTTTCTTTTCTAATTCAGTCTGCTTTGTTTGCTCAGTGCAATTCAGTGTAAAATTTCTCTTCCTTCCAGTTATTGCTTCTAAATATATCTTCTAATTTCAGTTGTTGATTTTACACATTAGGGAGGATCAGGATCATGCTTTACCTCTTCTCTACCTGTCCGTTGAATCTTGCACATACAGACCTAACCCATCAAAGTCAATAAACTGTTTGCATGTAAACCAAACCATGAGGACAAACTGCAAACTCTGGGCTTGTGTGTTTCTCTCCAACATAGTGGAAAGTGGGTGCTTCTGCTTCAGGTTCTGATTAGCACTATATCCAAATTCGGACAGACTGCAGTTAGTCTGCATAGTGGAAAGTGGGTGCTTCTGCTTCAGCACTATATCCCAATTCGGACAAACTGCAGTTAGTCTTGTTAGCAAAACAATCCAAACTGTACTTTATGAAGCCGTCATGTTTTAGTATTACTTGTGCCCACAAGTGTAAGCCATGCAGTGTAAGTCACTGTTAGTTAAAAAATTGAGGTTTGTATATCTGGTTGCACACAAGGTGCCTAACGTGGCACACAGTGAGAAATTCATGGAGCAACTTCATGTCTAAAGCCAACGTGCCGCAGCAATTGACGTCATTTGACTTATGCTGGCAGGTCTAAATGAAAGCATTCTTGTCTTTAAATTATTTAAGCTGTAGACATAACAATAGACAGTGCAAATCAAAAACAAAGCAGAAATTTGTCTTATCTTCCTGAACTTGGATGGGAATGGCATGGCATGTGTATGACACTAGCATCTTCTGAATATGAGTCATTGTTTGATGTGACGATTGAGATTATGTGCACTGTGCATTTCATACATAGGTATATGTGTTCAAATTTACACTCTATTCTAAAAATTTGAGGATAATTGTTTTATTTCTCGCTAAATATATACAGTGGTGCCTCACTTAACGATTACCTTGTTTAGCGATGTTTTCGCTTAACAATGTTTTTTTAAAAGAATTCTATGCATCATTTAACAATGTTTCCTATGGGCGATTTTCGCTTAGCCATTTCAGGACCATGCTTCACATAGCGAATGCATTTTTAGGTCCCCTGTTTCGCTTAATGATGTCCAGTTTTTCAATTTTAAAAGTGTCTTAAAATGTTCAAAAATGTTTTAAATGCTTGGAAACGTCAGTGCACCTTCTAAAATGTGTGCAAACTTAATTTGGCTTTGATTTGACTTTTCGTTAATTTTTGCTGAATTTTTTCTCGCCCATAGGAAAGCATTGAAACCAACTTTTGACAGCTGTCAAAAGTTGGGCTCCATTGTTTCCTATGGGGGAGAAAACAAATCACAAAAAATTAACGAAGACTCCGAACAAAGCCAAACTAAGTTTGCACATGATTCAGAAGGTGCTCTAATGAACCCAAGCATTTAAAACAGTTGCTGACTTTTCGTTAAAGTTTTGTGAATTTTTTCCTCCCCCATAGGAAACAATGGAGCCCAACTTTAGACAGCTCCATTGTTTCCTATGGGGGAGAAAAAATTCACAATAAATTAACGAAGACTCAGAAACTGTTTTAAATGCTTGGATTCGTTAGAGCACCTTGCAAAACC